ATCACAGCGTCTCTCTCTCTCTCTCTCTCTCTCTCTCTCTCTCTCTCTCTCTCTCTCTCTCTCTCTCTGTGTGTGTGTGTCTTCGGCATCCTCCGCCCCTTGCCACCCGGCCCGGCCTTCCTTTGCTTGCGGGCCATGCCCTCACCTGCGGGCAGTCTGCCTGGTTCGATTCTCGGTGCCGGCCCTCACCCCGCAAATGTCTTGCTGGACCGCCCCTCGAACCGACGCGACCCCCGCTCGCCACCACGACCCTATTGCAAATACGGCCCCCCCCAACCGACGGGCCCTCCTCGGTTCCCTGCGGCACACCGCGCGGAACTCCCTGCCTAATTTTTGCTGGGCCCAGTGGGAGCATCACGCGCGGACCGCTTTTATATATCTTTATAATAAGAGAAGAGAAGCCATATTCTTCACTCGTATGCCTCACACTACCTATCCTGATACGTAAGTCCAGTTCTGTGATTGGTTGTGGTTATCTCCCTAGTAATGCCCAGCCTCTGCTGTATGCGGGGAGCAGTACCCTGGCTCCTAACACCCCGCGCGATCTGGGAAGGGCGAGCCAAACCTTTCCACAACCAGCCAGGAGGCCCAAGCCGATTATCTCCACTGGTGAACCCAAAGGTGTATCACAGGGGCCACGGGAATGAAATGGACGACGTGGGAAATCGAACCCATGACCTCCTGAATACCACTTACGTGCTCAACCAGCGGAGCTAGACCGCTAGGGCTCTGCCTGAGTTATCAAATGATTCAATTGAATATCTGGTTTCTCGCTGTAGCTGAACACGGGTTGACACCTAAGGTTCTCAAGTTCGTAATTGGAGTACGCCGCTGCTCTCGCGACGGATCGGAGTCAATAGCGGCACATCCCAAACCCAATGATGACACGCATAAATCGAGAAACGGTCTCCCAAAGCTTGTATGGCAGTATGAGCACCGAGGTTCTGTATGTCATTCAATTAACCTCTGCTTGAGCTCTGTTAGTGTATTTTTCTCAAGCAAAGCCATGTGCCAGGACAAACTCTGAGAAGCTTATATCATGATGACGGGAAATTTATGAAAGATTTTTGGGAGGAAGAAATCATGCTAGTTATATACAACCAGGTTTAGCTGCACAAGATTTACCTCTGGGTTTAAGCGAAGATCTTTTTCTGTTTTCACTGCAATTTGCTGCTCGTAAGTACAAGAAATGTTAACAAGCAATTGTATTCGTGAAACGACGACTCGTAGATATTGGTACTGTTACTGCACTAGAGCCTATGGATTGGGGATGTAGTGGTGTAATGTTAAGAGGTTCATGGGTTTCCAAAATCAGCATTGTCCGAAAAAAGGATGGTCTTGCAACTCAGCAATCTGGTTGGCAAATGCATCAACATGAAACAGTTTTCACCTTTGGCAGTAGCCGATGCAGATCCCAGGGGTCGATCCCTTGACCTCAGCTTACCTGTGTACAGTATCTGCACAGTTTCCTGGAGTTGAACCCGTGACCTGCACGATAGCCAGTGGTAAGTAGGTCGC